CTTTGCTTTTCTATTTTCCTACCTATTTTGTGATCAGTGGAAAACTAATGGGAAATTATTAAGCAATTTAATAAACACAAGTGTTTCATGAGACTGACCTTTGGTAGTTTTTGTATTCACTTTCCTAAGAACCAAAGGTGAAGATTTTTTTTGTATTTGTAAATTCGGTTTCTGAAGAAGACAAGGGAAATAGTCATTTTTTTCATTTTTTTCTTTCATTATTAGAATACCTGACATTGATTATATACTAGTTATATATTAGACATTGTATTTACAACTTAGGTATATTATTATGAAGTGTGTTCTATAATTTCTATCTTAGGCCGAGTAAGAAAATATAAGTAGCTCAGAAATGCACAGAGAGTGATAGAATTAAGATTCGATTCCAGATCTGGCCAATATATAACCATTATGAATTGTTAGGCCATTCTCATAGTAGGTTTTTAATAAATATTTATTGTAAGATGGGTGTGAAGTGCCTGTTATCAGTTTGCTTTGCAGAGTAAAACTCCTGAACGCATAGGCTGCTTAATAACTAGAAATTTGTATGTTGTTAATTTGCCTTCTCTTCTTGTAGGAAAGAAGACTACGAGAAAGAGAAGCCAGAAGAGAAGCCAACACAAGACAAGCAAAGGTAAGGAGGCCTGTGTTTCTCTGCCTGCCTGAGTATTTACATTACATATGGATATCTACATGTCTATATAATTTTGTTTGCTGTTTGTTTTTTTGATAGCTCTTTCAAGGGCCTTTATATTTTAATAAAGATTTTTTTGTATTATTGAAATTAATTAAGATACCTGCTCTTTCCATAGGTATTTTATGTTTATTTTTATATTGGAGCATTCTGTTGTGGATGGGTTTAAACCTTTGTGGCCTGTTATTTTGTCATTCATTTGTTTCTGTTATGATCTAGGGTGAAAAATTATAAGAAAATTTGTAAGTTGGACTTTGCCTGACTTCCCCTACCACCTTTTCCCACTATGTTTTATTTTTAGTAAATACAGAAGATAATTGACTTTGTGGGCCAGGTCTGATAGGATTTTCATCTGTTATCATTTTTACACTTGACATATGGTCTATTTTAACTCAGATAAATAATATGAATACTATATAATAATGAGAGCATTGGTTCCTTCAGTTCAGCTATTGAAATATATATGTACAGTTAGAAATACTACCTCTGTGTAGCTGTGATTTAATCTGGTCTGCTTAACCCTGAGAAGGTTTCAGCTTCTGCATTCTTAGGCCATTTAATAGAAATGATTTTCTAGAACCAGGGCCTAATACTGAATGTCATTTCTCATGCTGTATCTCATTGTGCTATGCCTGACTAGCCATGATTTTTTCTTGGCAGTTAGCAAAGATCTGATTCCCTTGAGTAAGCCCCTAATGTTTTTTGTCATTTTTTTTTTTTCCATGCTGGCCATAACACTTAGAAAGCAAGTCAGAGATGATAACTCATGCTGTAGTTTTGAAGTAGGAAGCAATTACTCTTCAGTATAAGATGAAAAGACTACGTATATTCAGTATTAAATATTATTCTGAATTCCAAGGTGCCTGAAATGAAAGCTCCAGCATGTACAGCTCAGCTGCTAATGCTGTATATGTTTGACATGTAGAGATGAAGTGTCATGCAGGGAAACGGGATCTTAGGAGCCATAGTGGAAAAAATTAAAATTTAAGAAGAAAACCTTATCCCTAATGAAAGCATTTGACTTTTATGGGTATTGCATGTTCAGCATTGTAATAAGCCTATTTTGTTTCACTAAAAAGCTCTCCATTACAGATTCAAAGTATGAAATGAAAGCTGTAATCTTGAGCATAAAGGAAAGCCTGTTATATATTCACTTTGTATTTGTGCATATTTGTATAGAGGATCGACCTTCTCTATCTATAGCTTCCATACATACACACACACACACACACACACACACACACACACACACACAATCAACCATATATATGATTCCATATATATAAAATCAACCAGCTATAGATCAGAAGTGTACTTAAGCTTGCATTTGTAATGAACATGTACAAATTTTTTCTTGCTATTATTTTTTTAATTTAACAGCTACTTAAAATATATATGCTAGTGAGTATTCTAAATCTGGTGTGATTTGAAGTATATGGGAACATGTTTGTTGGTTGAAAGTTGTAATATATGAGACTTGGGCATCTTTGTGTTTTGGTATTGAGGGTGGGTGGAAATGTTTATTGTCTTAGAACTTGTTTCCTTTGTATCTTGAGGGAAAACTACTCACTTTACCTTTTATAGTTATTGATGTTGTATATCTGGTCTTTCAATATGGTTTGAACTGTAAGAAACTGTTTTCACTTCTAAGCCTGTTTCTAGATTCTTTTTCTTTAATTCCTCTATAAAAGGGTGTCTTGGGTTTGGTTTTGATACAGTATCTGTTGTGGAACTCAATTTAGGACTACTAGAATGAATTTTTTATATTAGGGTTTATCACTAATGTGATAACCTTCCTCCTTCACTGTTTCTCTTCCCTCTTTTTCTGTGTGTCTCTTTCATGACATCCAGAGTGCCTTCTTTGTCACGAGAAGATCTTGTTACTGTATAGCCACAAAAGAGTGTAGTAGATATTTAAAAAAGGCTCTCAGTGACATGATTTTGTTGCTCAGCCAGGAGCTTTAAGGAGACAGAGGTTGTCTTATCATTGCTGTGGATAGTTGAGATATCTCTATGTCTTAGCCCTCCTGGGGGTGCAGGGATGAGAGCCATCTCCTATGAGTCACGTTACCAGAGGGCTGAGTGGCCAGTTTATAGTTTGTAACATTCCTTAAGACACTGAGGTTCAGTAGCAGTGACAAGTTCAGACTTACTGATAGAGCTCAGAGAATCAGCTTGAACCAAACCAACCTTTCTGTTCCAGATTCTTTTCAAAAGTAATGGACAGGCTATGAAGACTCTAATGGCATTTCAAGTGCCCATTGGAAACAGAGCTAGATGTTGTTTGGAGAGACTTCATTAACAGGTGCTTGCCCAAAATTTTATTATATTTAAAAAGAAATATAGAATATGAATTACCATGATTCCTTATAGTGTCTGTACTTTAAATGACTGTGACTTAATTTAAGAGGAAACTGGGGCTGGAGAGATGGCTAAGCAGTTAAGAGCACTGACGGTTTTTGTGGAGGACCTGGGTTCAATTCCCAGCACCCATATGGCAGCCAACAACCATCTATAACTCCAGTTCCTTGGATCCAGTGCCCTCTTCTGACCTCTTTGGGCATTGCATGACATAGAACCACTTATATACATTCAGACAATACACTTATACATGTAAAATGAAAATAATAAATAAAAAAGAGGAAACTTTGTTTTCTCTGTAATCTTACTATTTAAATCATTGTGTTGCTTGAGGATAATGCCTTTTGAACCACTTTGGTCAGATTCAACTTAGAGCATTTATTTATTTGATTCCTGAAGCTACAAGATAGCCAAAAGTTATTTTAATAAGAAAGTGATATTGGTAGATTTAATATGCCAGCAAGTATATTCTTACTAGTTTATAACTATTATGTATAGGTACTGAAAATGTGAAAAAAATGAGAACTCTTAGCTTCCTTTCTGCCTGGTCCTTGTATTGTGCTATTATGTAATCTGCTATATAGGAAGAATACAGATTAGACAGTTTAAAAATTTTGGACAAAAATTTTTTTGGATAAATTATTTCAATGAAAATTAACAGGATTATTATTTTTTTAGTAGAAAAGTAGTGAGTTTTCAGTTTTAGAAATGATGATTCCTCATTATCTCTGCATTGGCATATAGAGTATTTCTGAGAAAAATGGCTTTAGATTGTGGCTAGGGTAACAAAGTATATCTCTCAGGAACCTGATAATAGCATTTTGTTAAAGTTCATATCTGTGATCTGTTGGGAGAGAAATATGAGAGTGAAACTTTCATGATGATTTCTTGAGTACCCAGTATTTAGTGGTTTGGGAGATATAGGCCTTTTAATTTTTTAGTACATCTATCTCTCTGTCTGGCTATCTACCCTTTCATATCTATCTATCTATCTATCTATCTATCTATCTATCTATCTATCTATCTATCTATCTATCTATGTATATATCTATGTATGTATATATCTTTGTATCTATCTACCATCTCTCTATCATCTATATCATCAGTCATCCATTTATGTATCATGTAGGCATCTGACATCGATCTAACTTTCTATTTATCACCTCTATGACCTATGTTCTATACATCCATCCATTCATCCATCCATCCATTTGTCTATGTATCTATTAATGTACCTAATCATCTTTCACTCTGTTCTGTCTGTCTGTCTGTCTGTCTGTCTGTCATCATCTATCATCTATCTATCATCTGTGTATGTGCCTGTGCATTATTGGGCATGTATGGAGGTCAGAGGACAAGGTGCTGGAATTGGTTCTCTCCTTCCACCACGTGTGTCTTAGAGATTAAAGTCAGCTTGTCATGCATGGCTGCAATTGCAATTGCCTTGCTTTAGTTTAGTGTTTATTTCTGTGCTGAAACACCAAAACCAACTTAAGGAGGAAAGAGTTTATTTTTATTTTTATATTTAAAAGTATTTTATGTGATGTATGCTGGTGCCTGCCTTTAATCCCAGCATTTGGGATGCAGAGACAGGCGGATGGATCTCTGTGAGTTCAAGGCCAGCCTGGTCTACGTAATGAGTTCCAGGCCAGCTGTGGCTACTCGGAGACCCTGTCTCAAAAGAACCAAAAAAAAAATTAAAATTTTTTTTTTATGTATATGAATGTATTGCTTGTATGTGTATAAGTGCATCTGTGTGGTACACTGCCTGCGGAAGTCAGAAGAAGGCACAGAGCATCAGATTACCTCGAACTGGAGTTGTGGGTGGTTGTTAGCCACCATGTGGGTGCTGGGAATTGAACTCAGGTCCTTTGCAAGAGCAGCCAGTTGTCTTATCCACTGCTCTCCAGCCTGGAAAGGGCGCATTTTAGCTTACAGATAATAGTCCATCATCACGGGAATCTAGAATAGGAACCTGGAGGCAGGAACTGAAGCAGAGACATGTAGGACTGCTGCTTACTGGCTTACCTCTGGATTGCTCAGTTTCTTTCTTATATAGCTTAGGTTTACCTGCCTAGGGAGGGTAGCCCCCAAAAGTCGGGTGGGCCCTCCTTCACCAATTAGGAATAAAGAAAGTATTCCACAGACATGCCCACAGACCAATCTGCTAGAAATTCCTCAATTGAAGTTCCTTCTTTCCAGGTGAGTCAAATTGACAATGAAGATTTAACCATCAAATTTACTCAGTAAGCGTCTTGCTGGCCTGAGATGCAGATCTTTCTGGGTATGAAAACTTTCTTTAGGAAGGAATTCTTTAAATTGAATAATAGAACCGGTTTACTTTCAGCTAACAAAATGTTATATATTCTTGTAACAGATTAAAAAAATAGTTTAAAATTTTTTTTATGTGTATGAGTGTATTGTCTGCATGTATGTGAGTGTACCTGCGCCATTCAGTGCCCATGGAGCTCAGAAGAGGGTGTTGGATCCAAACCCAGGTCCTCTGGAAGAGCAGCTAGTGTTTTTAACTGCTGACCCCTCTCTAGTCCTGTAATAGGTATTTTAAACATTTTGAAAAA